AATATAATTGTAAAAGGAATTCTGCAAAGGTACATAAGATAGCATTGTTATATTACAAACAGAAATAATTTTAGAAAATATGACTAAAATGATGGATAAAATATTTACTGTAATGTAGTGGAATGTTTGTTAATAAATAAATGAATTAAAGTGATTCAGAGAATTAAATGGGAACATTTTAATTATTAGTGATGATTTATAAAAATATAAGTGAGAAATATGGAAAAAAAGAATTAACTATGGAAAGTTTATAAGTGTTTCCAAGGAAGTATGATATTTAATTGAAAAGAAATGTTAAAGATGTTAAGATTTTAATGAATATTAATGATAGAATTGAATTGGAATGGAACGTGTGTTTTATTTACATATATATATATAATTTTTTCTTTTTAAGAATATTGTGTGTATTTTAAGAATGTACCAAGCAGAATTCGATTGGAAGTTATGTATTATATTGAATGCTATAATCTTAAAGGTATACATTGAAACTTAAATAAGAGTTTGAATGGATAAAATTAAAAGATATAAAGGTGTCATACTCCAATTGGTAACTACAGGGAAAAATTTGTTTAATAAGAAAAGATAATATGAAACTGAAACAGGACAGACAAAAGTATAAATATAACGATTTGAATTGAGACGAGATAATTAAAATAAAGTTGAGAAAATAAAAAGAGGGGAAAAACTATGTAGAGAATATAAAACGGTAATAAGATATGGAATAGAATATAAAAATGAGCATGAAATTGAGTTTTGTGTCTGTATGAAGAAGTGATAACCCGGGACCATGCTATTTCCAAAAAAAGATGTTTTATTTGTATTTTGTTTTTGTGAAAACCCAAATAAAATTTTCAAAAAAAAAGAAAAGAATGCAGAGACCAACTATTTCTTACTGAGAAATCAACAGCTATTAGGCCTGTGTAGCAAAGGCAGGAAAAAGTACCATATTTGAATCGTGGGAACTGCTACATGAAGACTTGAACCCTAGAATTTGCAGTATCTGTTTTTCTTCCTTAGCAAGTACCTGCAATCAAAATATTTTATCAAAGCAATGTCCCTGAATCACTGACTGGGAGCCTTTTAGTTTAAGTATTGGTTGGGGTAAAACACGACCTAAGGAATTGCACAGAGGAGCTATGACTGCCCCATGTCTTCTAAAGGAATTTTTGCCTTCAAATATCAAGGGCGGCACAAGGCTAAAAAGCCAATAATGCCATCTTCTCAGAGCAGAATTAAAAGGGATTGTGTGCTGTTTTCATCAATATTTACCTCATCTTAGTAATTAGTCTCTGAAGCTTTAATGGTTGGTTCCTTGTCCAGCATGTCAAGCTCAGAACTTTAAGTAGAACTCACAATTTTACCTGTCACATTAGTTTGGTGAACACTGTCACAGAATGACAAACTATCTTTGCTCCTTAGTCTCCAATTAATATTTAAAATTCTTTTGGTTAGTACTGTTTCCAGGTTCAGGGGACAACTTGAGAAAGATCTTCTCAAAATCGCCATCTTTCCATGAGTGGACTACCTTTTTGCCACAACTTCTGCCTCTGTTTCATTCTGGCCCAGTCTGCAGGAACTTCATGGAAGAAAGGATGGGCATAGAGACTCTGCTTCCCTTTCACTATTACTGGTTTGAAAGCAGGCAGGAAAACAAGCTTCAACTGCAACAGCAAACAACAGCAGGCTATGGGCCTTGGCAGTGACTCAAGAATAATAACTCTCTGGCCCTGCCTAAAGAAATTGTGGAGATCTAAAGCCGTATCAGACAGCTTGAGCCTCCTGGAAAAAACAAAGAGTACCAAGCGAGAGGATCAGTCAATTTTTACAATATACATATCAATATTAGCAATGAGTAACAGCTTTTGTTATTTACATTTTTGTAAGAACCTCATTTGTTTTACTGTCAAGAACTTTCCCCCCTTAGTACAAATTTGAGTGCAATAAAATTGCAAATCAGGTCACAAGATTCAATTTCTTGTTGCTCGTTCATCGAGGAGAGAATTTAATTTGGATTTGTAGCATAGCGTTTTTCAAACAGCTTTGAATTAAGTTTAAGACAACTGTCTAAGCACCTGGGGCTAAGGAACTGCATGGAAAAGAGAGAACATGTTTTCAGTAGTAAATGGCTGAAGGCTGGGGAATCATCTGCCATCTGCTCTTCTCCGGTCCATGGTTAAGGGAGAAAATGGCAAGCTTTCAGATGAATGTTGCAGCCACTTAACAAAGACATTGCCTTATACTCAACACGTTTGCTTTTGCTTTTAAAGTCCCTGCTCCCTTTCTTCTTCTTCTTCAAATTAATCCATCAAGAAGAAACAGCCAGCTGTGAATAGCAGTGTCTATAAGATCTCTGTGTAGATTAGCAGCATGTATTTCCTCCAGTACTATTGACACTTCAATTTTCTCTTTAATTCTCATCCTGGAACACCAGGGATGCAGCAGATCTGAATGGCTGTTAATTGAGGCAAAGCGAGTTTAGGTCGGAGCTAACAACCAGATCATGTGAATCAGAGCAAGAATGGTATAAGTGCAGCAAACATCCAATTATCAAACAGTGTTGTTAACCTGTGGAAAGGGAACTTCATGAGGACAGTGGTGACACCCAAGCAGGAAAAGCCCAAAGGGAACATCAGGCCAGCCATAAAACAAACTTGCATAGGAAAAGAGATTTAATAAAAGGTATTGAAAGAAGCCCCCTAGACAAAAGCCAAGTGATTAAGAAAGCTAGGGAAACAAGAAAAAGAAATCCCTTACAAACAACAGGTCATGCCAAATCAGCAAAACAAATAGACAAAAGACACGAAATAAATTCCATAGCAGACAGGAGATTGCTACAAAACAAATATAAGAAAACATTAGGACGAAACTGATAATCCAATCAAACTACCCCGTGGAGTTTACCCTCCGGCGGAAATGAAGACAACCCCTGACAGGATTTAAAACATTAAGAAATACAGACACAAGCACTCACAGACAAAAGGAGAAAAAAGTATAAAAATCAGGGGTTTTATTATACAAAGCAGCTAGCCCCAGGAACGCAGACTTCTTGCTATCTCTCGCCTTCCTGAAAAAAATAAAAAGACTCAGCTTTCAAGCAGTTGTCTGAATCCTTGCACCGGAGTTCTCCCAGCAGGAAAATCGAACCCTCAGAAGAAAGGCATTTGCCAGCCTTTCAACAAACCTTTGGGACCAATTGGCCACCCAGACCTGGATCTTGTTTTCTCCTTAATTATCAGCAAATGGTTAATCAATAGCATCTGTTTTTACTAAGTGACAACCCATTAATGTTTGAACATTACAAACATACACATCCAGGCTGGTTACAGGTGGGAAAAGACTACAAGGATTCCTAATTAACATGGTGACTGGGAAGTCCCAGAGTTGAACGCTCAGTTCTGTCAGGTTAGGAATGGTTGATCTCAGCCTTGATTGCTTTGTCCTTTGTCTGTGAAATGCATCCATTTTGAAAAAATGGCCAGACCCATAGAAAAATCCCCCCCCCACTCCCACAATGTCAGCTGCATGTTGCAAAACGCATTCTGAATAATCCATAGAGCAAGTTTCATATACCGGTAAAGCATCAGGCTAGAAATCCTGAAGATTGTGAGTTCTAGTGTCACCTTTGGCACAAGCTAACTTTGTGGCCTTGAACAGACAAGAGCAAACCACTTCTGAAAAACCTTGATAAGGAAACTGCAGAAATCTGTCTAGGCCATCACCAAGAGTCAACACTTATTTGATGGTGTGCACACACAGACACAAACAAATAAATAACTCATCCAGCAGATGAGACCTCTTAAAAGGAAGGTCTCTGCTTAAAATCTCAGCTGCACAAATAGTCTACACTTGTGTGCACTGCCCCCACATTTTGTTGTTGTTTTTTCTGTTGGAGAAACTAACTCTTTAAATATAGTTATGAGTGAAAATCCCACTGAATTTAGTCGGACTTATTTCCAGATAAACATTCTTAGAACTTAGCTTTAAAAGCTCACTGCTGATTGGAGGTGGATGGATTGCCTCTATTTTAAACAAATTATTTAAGTTTCCACTGTAATCTCTGAACATGACAACAGTTATGAAAGGTTTCCCAGACATCAAGAACTTGGTGGGTTTTTTTGTGGGGGGGGGGGGGGGGAGAGGATTGTGGAAGCAGAGGAATCAACAGAGATTTAGGAAAAGCTGCCCTCTCATATTCTTTCAGCTTTCAAAAACAGTTTAGCACAGAGATACTCAATGCAAACAAATAGTTTATTTGGAAACAGCTTTGTGGCTTAGAGTTCATTGTCACATTCTTCCGTGGACTGCTGCAGGACCATCTCTTCACCTCCAGTAATTTATGGTTATTTTGGCTTGGGTTGCAGGATAGGGGAGACAAGACACTAAGGAGAATTTTCCTGGCAGAACAATTAACCAGTAGAACGGCTTGCCCTCAGAAATGCTCCATCACTGGAGGCTTTTAAGAACAGGCTGGACTTGGACTTTTAAGAACTTGTCTGAAATGCTATAGGGTCTCAGGGGGTCCCTGCCAACTCTGTTATTCTGTTCTGTTCTTGTACACCTTACTTCTACTGTGTAGATATTGGGAGTGAGGATATTTCAAGATTAATCAATGGGAAAACGTGTCTGAAGACTGAAAAAAGTAGCAATAACTGAGCGACAGAGTGCCAAAGAGACTCTAGTCTAGGCTAAATGAAAATAACCAAAATACTTGACTCATTCTTGGTCATTCCTGCTCTTGTGATGTAAAAACAAGTAGTGTTTTAAAAGTCTGTCAGCTTTGTTTGTTTATATTGGTACGCTCGGATAGTCCACGGGAGTCGGAAACCGTATCATTCTATTGATAACGCACGAGTGCACGTATCTAAAAAAATTCTCTTCTTAAGCCACTCGCTTCACTTTTTACAAAAACCAATAGGTGCGTACCGCAGAATCTAGCCTGCTTAGTCCAGGCTGCTTTGCCAATGGCTGAAGCAGAATAGTAGGTGGAGCCACGTCGGTTTGAGAGACACGTGTACAAAGGAACCAGGAAGTGACTGCCGGAATTGGAATATCAGCTGTAGTTTGCAACGTCTGGGTGATCTTATTGAGTGTATGTAGTGAATTATTATTTTTAAATAGAATGTGTTATTAATTTTAAAAAAATCCAGGAGAATACATTGCAGGCAAAATTCTTGCGGCATCTTTTATCTTAAAAAAACCAAACAAACCGGGATAGTACTGGGAGGAAAAAACGATCTAACCACTTTTACTTGTCAATTTTATATCTTAGAATTTTTTTACGGATTGATTATTTTAAAAAAGGACCGAAAATAGCTGTTTTCTTAAATATATATTTTACGGTATGGCAAACCGACCTACTCATTCATTTTGATGCCTTCCACGTTTTGGGTGGGCTATCAAAGCTTTGCTTTGAATGAAAATGGCCCATACAGACGGATTAGATCCAGTGTGGTTAAAATAGAGGAACTTTTAATTGTTTGCAAAGGTTAAATTGGCGACGATAAGATTATTATGGAGCTTCATATAGACTGATTAAGTTGCAATAACCTGGAGTTGTGCCTCCCCGCCCCCTTCCCCAGGGTTGCAAGTTCTCAATCTAAGAACCTTTTCCAGCAGAAATCGACGGTAGGAGAATGTTCTATGATTGTTTTTTCTCCCTTTCCATTAACTTGCCTTGTGCAATAACTTCCTTGAGGAGAATAATGCCTCACTTGAAAGGCAAAATGTATTTTCTTTCAACTCAGCCAATCGCCTCAATTAATGCAAGTCAGAAACACAACCCAAAGATTAGGAACTCACCTGATGTGCCTTGCAAACAGTGATTTGTGGCGTAATATGAACCAGGCACCTATGTTTGCTTATTAAATCATTATTAAAACAGATGTTGGTTTACTGTAATTCAGAAGTAAATGTAGAAGTAAATTCAGCTAGAAGTAAATCTTGGTTCATGAAGTACTCACGTGCTTAGGATCACAACCACATTCCAATTGTATGAGGAATTGAGAGAAATTGTCCAAGGACCCTCCTCAAATGGATTTATAGCTAAAGTGTCTTACTCCTTAGAATATCTCCTGTATTGCTCATTATCTTCCATTACAAGAATGGATACTCTTTTGGGGTGGGAATATTTGAAAGTTTGAAGGCATGTGGTTACTGCTTTCTTCAAATGGCTGCCATGAGAGACCTCTTAAAGAGCCGTGGTAATGCAATGGTTGGGATGCAGTATTGCAAGCAAATTCTGCTGACTGCCAACTGCTGGCAGTTCGATTCTGACCAGCTCAAGGTTGTCTCAGCCTTCCATCCTTCGGTAAAATGAGGACCCAGATTATTGGGGGCAATATGCTGACTCTGTAAGCCGCTTAGAGAGTAAAAGCATTATGAAGCGGTATACAAGTCTAAGTGCTATTGCTGTTCCTATTGCTCTTTTCACTAAATGATTCCTAATGGAGGGTGTGGCCAATCATAAAATAGAAATGACCAGAAGGCAAACATAATGTTGGTTCCCTTCCCCACCAACTTCAGTTCACCTGGGAGTTTTGGTTCCCCCCCTCCACCCGCCCGGCAGACACACTTCTATTAGAAGAATGATTCTGCTTCCTTTTTTATTTTCTAAAAGTGTCTTTAAATCCAAAGTGGGCCCAGAGCCATATTTTAAACAAGGATGATTCTGAGGGATAATGGTTTGCTCTAATGTCAGTTATATTTAATTATAAATATCTAATATATGAATGAACAGGCACATTATGCAGATGGTGATCATAGGTAGCATTTTGTCAATTTCAGGCAAACACTTAAGGAGGAGACACAAATCAGATAACTTTCTAGCTGTAGACTAATAAGCAAATAAAATGTATTTCTGAAACAGAATAATTAATTTGATTGGCTCAGATTTTAAATTTTCTACCTAATTTTCCTTTTATGTTTACCAGATCTTCAAACCCAGAATTCCTCATTATGATACTTGGTTACAATCCAGTGTTGCAAGCACTGCTAGGAACCTTACTGACTTGGGGATTGACGGCTGCTGGCTCAGCACTTGTATTTATCTTTTCCAGTGGGCAGGTGAGGCCTGAATTTCTTTGGTGCAAATTTCAAAATTAGAGGATGAAAAATGCATTTTCAGCATTAGACATGATAAAATTGTGAGTGTGGATTGTAAGTATGGATCTGATAATAACCATAAATATTAATTATGGCATGTGGGAGTTATGTGATAGAGCTGGAAAAAGAAATGACCTTGGTATTAAAATTTTATATCTTAAATTAATACTCTGCAAACATTTAACTGAGATTGGCTAGAAATGCTTGCCTCTAGCTTTTGCATTTTTACAAGAGTAAACCAAATTGCTACAGCAGATAAATGGGTCTTTCGATGTCATAAATTTGAAAGATTTACTATTACCTGGGTTATAGTAGAAGAGATCCTTCTACAACCCTTTGAAATTTTCACATTTATGATATCCAAAACCACACTTAATTGTAGCAATTACATTTTATTTTAAAGGTGTACATACATAGCTATTGTGATTACCTTTAACCTACGTCCTGATATCTGGGGCCACTCTTGAAAAGTTTCCGGAATTTGCAGTTTTTTTGCTAGGTTCCTAACCAGTGAAAGTGGTATGCTAAAATTGAAGCAGAAATCCCCCTTTTTGTGCTTCTTTTGTTAGCCTGAATTTTGGTGGACAGAAGAATTAACCAGTATGTGTTTACAACAATTTTCCTGGTTTCTTGTCCTTCAGATATGCTGCTATTACAGCTCTCAGCATTCCCAACCAGCACGTGATACTAGCTGAATATTTTAAGAATTGTAGAGGATATCAAAATGGAGAATAATGGCAAACATTGAAATTTGATGTCTTTTATTAAATAGGGATTAGATTTTTAACTCTGTGTTATCTTAGTTTTACACGAAATTAATATACACTTAATCTGTTTTGCCTATTATGGTAAGCCATAGATTTTTTGGGGGTGCTTTTTTGGTACTTTTCAGTGCAGCTGTTGTCTGCAAGTTATGTTTTACAGCTTAGCATGTTGCATGAAGCCAGCAAATTAACATTTAAATAAACTATGATTCAATGTCAAATGTGAAATTAGTATATTGCCGTTGTATACGGTATCACTTCTGACCACTTGTAATCTTAAATTTGCAGAGACGAATCCTGGATGGGAGTCTAGGCTTTGCTGCAGGGGTATGTAATAACTTGATTTAATGTATAAATTAAAGTTTGCTTTGACTTATCTGACCTCCTCATTGTCAATGGTGTTTTATTTGTTGGTGTTAGGACTTCTAGCTGAAGTTCCATGAAGAATCACCTATTCTGATTAGAGTCGGTGGTATCATGCCGCTTATCAACACTCCTTTGTGGTCTTCTCCCTTGTCCCATAATTGGGTAGAGCCAAAAGTTAGGCCCTGCTTGTCTTTGGGTTGTCAGAAGGATAAAGGGCAAATGGGTGTTTATATCTTACAAACAACACACATTTAATTCCCTCAAACTCCTGAAACTGCTTACTTCCAAAAGGCTCAGGTCCTCCTCCCTCTTGTTTGGTTCTTTGATATGCTGTCAAGACTTGTGTGGTGGTCTAGACATGAAGCACACTCATATGAACTAATTATACTTTATTGCATTGTTAACATAATTTTGTAAGTCTGAAAGTACATTTTCTCCCCACTCACCTCTACAGCCCAAGAAACTAAGGAGGTTCTCTTCTGAGATGTTTGCCATGCCCACACACCTGCTGTGGGTTAAGTTGTCTTTTATCCAACTGTTCCCCTGTCATGGTTCTGTCCCTTATTCTCCCAAGGTGATTCCCATATACCATTATACCTGCCACCCCAAACCCAGCCTTGCCTATTGGCCAACATTAATCCTTGCCTTGGGACATGTGTCAGCATCCAGATGCTATGGATACCAGGAAAATACTAGCTGTAAAATGGAAATGATTTCTGAGATAAAAAGTTATTTTATTTGTATTTTTATTGTGTCTGACATTTTCAAAAGTAGAATTTGATTTTTAATCTCTGTATACAGTCACCAGTTAATATTCCATATGATGTAACATTTTGGGGAGGGAATGAGGTGGAGGTGAAGTTTCTCTATTTTTCAAAATAAATGCAAACTTTATAGGAAAAAATGGAAAAATGTGAAACAGTTCTCTTATGAAATGTAAATTTTATGTTCTGATTTTAAAACGATATATAATTGAAGCAGAACATAACAAGATCAGGGAATTTGCAGTTCAAAACAGAATGTTGCATCTCTTTTTTCTGGATTTATGAAATGTAGGACTAATGCTCTATGTTTTATTAAGTAATATTTGTATATGTAGCCAATTCCAGAAATGGAACTGCAGGGTGCTACATCTTGAGATATTTCATTTTGTAACATGGGAAAGAAAGGAATAAAGTATTAGTGGGCAGAAGGGGGAATGACAATATTGTTAACAACTGTAATCACATTTCTAGATTTAGATGGTGGGTGACAGGTACATGTCATAGTTTTTATAGACTAATGAGTTATTTTGTTTATATAAAATTATATCTCACACTTAATACTTAATATTTATTATCCCATTGACATATCTTTAGAGCTATAAAAATACACATGCAACTTGGAAGTATGTATTTCATGTTAATTCCTTAACTGTATGGGTGCATTTGCAAATTATTTATTATTTATCAGCAGCATTTGTAATCCACTTCAGTCCCAAAGAGCTTTAGCATGCACAAAATATATTAGAGCGAAAAAGAAAACCTCAAAAACACCCTCTCTCTCATTCAGACAAGATGAGTAGTAAAAACTGTTTTTATTACTCTTTGGACCATACAAAATTGGCTGTGCTAAAGGTAAGGGAATACTTGAAATCTGTGTTAAAATAATATTAGGGCTACTCGGTGATCACACACACACACTAGAGAATGTTTGGAATTCCAGCTAAGTGTTACAAAAATGGAAGTTTTGTGTGTGTGTGTGTGTGTGTGTGTGTGTGTGTGTATAGTGAGGGGAAGACGAAGAGAGAATGGTATCATAATAAAATCCTGACCTCTGTAGATTGTAGTCTCAAGAGAAAATAATGGAGGATGATATGGATATTCACATTTGATTGCATCTCCTGTAATAATTGGAGGTAGAACTGGACCCATGGCATGAAGAAAAAAAAAGCCCTTACTAGATTAATTTAATTGTCATCAGTGTATAGGAAACTGGTTATCTACAGTTTCACTCATTAAAAAACAGAAAATGTTCTGTGAAACTCCATTTATTGTTACAAATGACAGTTGGGCATATTTGATGTATTTCAATTGTGTTGCTTAATGTATTGGAAAACACAAGGAATATTGCCAAGCTGCCAGTTCAGGTAATTGTTTGGGAAATATATTAATTACTCATCCAATATTTTTCAGTCAATAGTTTAGTGTCACCCAAATGCTCTATAAACAAGTAGGTGGATCCAATTGTTGACCATCTGGGAGTGAGTCAACCAAACATATTTCCAGGCTGTTCTCTTTATGTGGTTTTTATTCTCTTCTTGAAATGTGTGTCTTTCTTCAAGCATATTCCAGCAACAGGAAAGTACAAATGGTTTTCAATTTACAACCATAATTGAGCTCATTAAGTGAGACAGTTAAGTGAATTCTGTCCCATTTTATGACCTTTCTTGCTATAGTTGTTAAGTGAATCACTGCAATTGTTAAGTTAGTAAAACGGTTGTTAAGTGAATCTGGCTTCTACATTGACTTTGCTTCTCAGAAAGTTGTAAAAGGTGATCACCTCGAAACACTCAAAAAATTCATAAATATGAATCAGTTTCTAATAGTCTGAATTTTGATCACGTGACTATGGGGATGCTGCAGTGGTCATAGGTGTGAAAAATGGTCATAAGTCACTTTTTTCAATGCTGTTGTATCTTCAGTCACTAAATGAACTGTTGTAAGTCAAGAACTACCTGTGTTGTGATTCTAAGTATTGCAAAAAAAAATTGTAATTAAAAGCAAGAAGCTAAATATATAACTAATATAAGTAACAAAATTAGAATCTGGTTGCTATTATTTAGTCTTCTCGAGAGATGAAATGCTATTCCTGAAAGGCAGGAATTTACCTTCCTGGATATAGACATTGACAAAGAGAAGCAATTGTCAAAACAGTCTTCGGGCTCATTAAATCTGCAAAGAGGAAAACAAATCTGAATCAATGCCAGCAAAAAATATATATGCAGTTTTGTGAATCCTGCTTGTGTTTCTCTGTTCTTGTGTTTATTTGCTTTTCTGAATAGATAGTAGATGTTCTTTGGTGTATCACTAGGCCCTGGGTAATGTGATGACATCCTTGAATGCTTTTGGAAAGGAGTAATGATTAGAAAGTTCTCCCTTGGTTGCATTTCCTGGCCCCATCACATTTGGTTAGTAGATGGCCTCCTTCCTTCTCACGGCAGATGCTTTGGGAAAGCATCTTTCCAAGTTCCTTTCGAACCTTTGGAGGCTGCTAACTGATGAACCAGACAAGAATATGGATTCTAAGCCAAGGGCATCTGTGTGTATTCCTTGCTCAGATATGCCTAACTAATCTTTTTTGCCATTTTGTGTAATGGTGTGAAGGACTATTAGCTTAAATATTGCAAATATGTAGTCTTTTTGACAGGACTCTGTGTTTGCTTCAAGAGAACATTAACCGAAATGCCAGGGATGTTTGCAGCTGGGAGCTTTAAAACTAGATGATTGCAGCAGGAAACAACTTCTTTTAAAATCTTGATAATGGTTGATTCAATTAACAAATCACTTGCAAAGATAGGCTGCCATACACATTAAATAAACGAATGAGTATTCCTGGTTGGAGAAATGGTGTGGAAGTGAAAGACTTCAGGTCAAGACACACCCTTGAGTCCTTAATTTCCCCCCCCCTCGGTGAGCACACTATGAATTTTGAGTGCTTCCACAAAGGGAGGGGCTGATCCATCCCCAAATGGCTGCCATGACCAAATGTAAAACAATACGCCAAGTGGGGCAATGATCCACAGGGACATTAGGGGCAGAAAAACCCCATGTTGGGAACTGTATATTTCAGGTATTACAGAATTGTGAGAAAATGTTCTTCTGAACTAGGAATACCTCCATATCCCTGTATCATCCAATTGTGTTGGATGCTATTATCCACCTGCAAATCCCCCTGCCCCAGCCCTTGTATAGCGGGAAAGGCTACTGCAGAAGAATGAGGTGAAATAAACTTGGCATCTCTGACACCACCGGTGTTACCTTGAGGAGATGGTGGGGGGGAGTGGCGGTGGGGAACCATGGGTGGGTTGCTTCTTATCTGTGCAATATTTCCATGCAATTTTTATCAGAGCAGCAGGGGATGGGATTGCAGAAAACACCTCCCACACCAAAATAGTTAATGACTTGTATTTCTCAATTCTTTGACCGGTACACAGGCGGTATTGTTTCTCTGCCTTGTCTTGTAAACACATTGTTCAGCACCATGTACACATTTTAAAAATTAAAACTATTGTATTCATTCATTTTTTTTAACATTTGCAGGAGATAAATCTTAAATAACATTTTATGAAAACTTTAGTAAATGTACCCATGTTTTATTGAGAGCTAGTTTAGTGTTGTGGCTAGGTGCTAGGCTTAAAGACAGAAGGACTCTGCGTTCTTGGCATGAAAGCCAGTAGGTAGCAGATAAGATCAATTAAGAGTAAAGCAAATATCATGGGCTGCTAGAGTTTTATTTCTGGAACTAAAAAGGCGAAGCAAGAGGTGATTTAACACCTGTGAGTTTAGCCACTGCCGCATTTTGGCACAGTATGTGCTATGAAAAGCCGCCTCGTCATGCTTTTTTTTCTCAAAATCTGTTTTAGTCAGGTATTTTCTTATGGAATTATCTTGGCTATGATGGTTTGTCATATTGGAGAAAAGGAGCCCAAGATCCAATTCTGGAAGAAATTTCTTAACTTAATTCTTAAGAGAATTCTTAAGATCTTCAATTGAAATGTTTTTCTCTTGCTGCATATATTACGGTATATATTTTTCATTTTTATGACATTATCTTCTTGACAACATATTTAAAATGGATGACTGGTGATGTAATTCCTTTCTGACCATGAGGGAAATAGGAAGGAGGAAATTAAAAATGATTTAATAAAAATGCTAATTTTTTATGAACATTCATTATTTCAAAGGAAATTCAGCATACTT